GGCATCTCTAAAGGATGTCCTTTGAGAAGAAGGAATAAGATCCCAGATACAAAAAGAAATGGTGAAGAAAGTAGAAAGCATACTTAGAGGACTGTATAAAATTATGAAAGCCTAACTTGTATAATGGAACCCCAAATAATCACAAATAAACTGCAATAATCAAAGGGAGCTGGTTTAGTTAAAGGGTTGTTTGGGAAAACATTAGTAAAGATTCCAAATTACTTCGTAGTTTAGGTTGAATACGTCTGTTAAAATATCTAGGCTAACCAATAAAAGCACAAAAAGAGAATACATACTCTCCAATCTTTCATATAGGTGAAAGATGGAATGAGAAAAGTAAAAACAAAAACTTCAAAACTGAAGAAGGCAAGAAACAAAAAGTGTCAGAGCAAGAGGTAAGGGAACACAGAGAAAGTAAGACAAAGAGAAAATAAGATGAGATGGTACACATGAGCCAAAACTCTCCAGGGGAAAGGAAAAGACCATCAGACTGGATGAAAAAGAAATCTAGCCATGTGCCATTTTTGAGGGACCCATTCAAATATGATGACAAAGAAACATGTAGAATAAAAGTTTGGGAAAGATTTGCCAGGCAAACACTAGCCCAAAGAGCTGGTATAGAGTAGGCAAAACAGACTTCAAGGCATAAAACATAACTGCAGAAAGAAGTTCACTGCACATGGATGAAAAGTCAAAACACACTGAAGATATTACAATTCTAAACTTTATTTATTTATTTATTAAAAGCTTTCTTTTTTTTAATACAATTTTTTTAAGTAATCTCTACGCCCAACGTGGGGCTCAAACTTACACCCCCAAGATCAAGAGTCACATGCTCTACCTGAGCCAGCTAGGCAGCCCTAAAATTTATTTATTTATTTATTTATTTTTAAGATTTTATTTATTTATTTGACAGACAGAGACACAGCGAGAGAGGGAACACAAGCAGGGGGAGTGGGAGAGGGAGAAGCAGGCTTTCCGCTGAGCAGGGAGCCTGATGCGGGGCTCGATCTCAGGATCCTGGGATCATGACCTGAGCCAAAGGCAGATGCTTAACAACTGAGCCACCCAGGCGCCCCTAAAATTTATTTTTTAATAAAATAACTTTACAATAGAAGGAAAACACTGAGAGAAAATGACAAATCTTCCACCGTCATCATTATTATAGTTAACTGAGGGATCACTGGCCACTGAAGTAAATGGCTTTGAGCTCCTTGCACGTATTAACCCCGTTAATACTCCCATCAATCCTGTTCTTCTGTGTTGCCTTTTTACAAACAGGAAAAGTAAAGCACAAAGAAGTAACATATCTCTCTCAAAAAATGATACAACAAATGGCAAAAAAAATCTTCATGATGAGAAGATTTGCATAACATCATCAGCAAGTTGGATCTAATGAAAATACATACAGACGGATAATACACATTCTTTTCAATTACTTCCAGAATGCCAATAAAAGCTGACCATGTACTGGGCCATAAAACAAGTTTCAGCAAATACCCAAGACTCAAACTCAGACTTCCTAGAATGATGATGCAATTAAATTATAGAAATCAATAAAGAAAAGATAAGTTTAAATGTCAATTGGAAATTTTTATTTGTTTTAAAGATTTTATTTATTTGAGAGAGTGAGAGAGAGAGAGAGAGAGCATGAGCAGGGGGAGGGGCAGAGGGAGAAGGAGAAGCTGAGCAGGGAGGTCGACACGGGGCTCGATTCCAAGACCCTGGGATCATGATGTGAGCCCAAGGCAGACGCTTAACCGACTGAGCTACCTGGGCACCCACAATTGGAAAATTTTTAAAGAGGCTTCCAAATAAATCACAGGAGAGACTCAATAGTAAAGGAAATGAAAAGTATCTCAAAATAAACAACAGGAGTACTCCATACCAAAATTTGTGGGTTGCAGATAAAATTGTACATAAGTGGGAAATGTGTTATTTTTTTTCTTTTTTAAGTAGGCTCCCAATGTGGGGCTTGAACTCACAACCTTGAAATCAAGACCTGAGCTTGAGATAAAGAGTCGGATGTTTAACCGACAGAGCCACCAGGCGCCCTGAGAAATGTGTTACTTAAATGCTCACATTAGGAAAGATGAAAAACCAAAAGGAGGTAGGCAAGAAGAAAGAAATCTCTGAAAAGGCAAGAGAATACATCCAAAGAAGAGGAAGGTAAAGAAGAAAAAGAAACTAAATGAAATAGAAAATAAAAATAGACAAGGGAAGCTCCATGATAAATTTGGGGTTCTCGGAAAATATGAGTAAAAATGATTTCAGAAACCTGACCCTCCAAAAGAGAAAATGGTATAAATAAGCAATATTGGGAATCAATAAAGGGGGGAACACAACAACATAGGCAGCAAACACTAAGGTGAGAGAATATTATGGGCAACTTTAAGGCAATAAATTTGAAAGTTTAGGATTAAGTGGGTCTATGTTTAGAAAAATACAACCTGCCAGCATTGACCAAAGAGGAAGCAGACGATGATGACAACGATGAAGGAATTGACTCAGTAGTTAGAGACTTTCCCACAGTGAAGTATTATAAAACATTCAAGAAACAATTCATTAAAATTTACATGTATTATTTCAGAGACTAGAAAAAAAAGCAACATTCTGAAACTAGTAAGTAAAGCAAACTAGGATGGATAAGAAAGAAACATTATAGATCAGTTTCAATGGGCATAGATTCACCCCCAAAACTCTTCAGTAAAATATTAACAAAACAGAATCAGAGTATGTATTTAAAAAAAACCCATCACCACCTGGTTGGATTTGTCACAGGAATGCTAATTTGGTTCAATATAAGAAAATTGACTCGTGTAATCTATCTCATTCATGGATTAAAGGAAGCAGAAAAAGTATCCGATGGTATTCAACATCAAGTCAAGTTGGAAAAAAACCTCAACAAAAAAGGAAAAGAAGGGAATCCCTTAGCTGGATAAAGGGTTTATTAAAATCGTGCTTCATGGAGAAATGTTTGAAGTACTCTCTACATTATCAAGAATCGGGGTAAGAAGGTCCACAACGCTGCTTCTGCCAGCATAATGGCGGTCATGGCCAACAGAGCAAGATAAGAAAAATAAATAAAAGGCGTAAGGATTGAAACAGCAGAAATAAAATTTGCTGGTGATAGGACTATCTCTAAAAAAAAACCCCCAAAAAACAAAGACAAAAAACAAAAAAACAAAACAAAGCCACAAAAAACCCAAGATGGAAATAAAAAGAGAGTTTAGCAAGGCATCTGCCCCTAACCTTAATATATAAAAGTCACGTGTTCTATACTCCATGTGAATTAAGTAAAAAACATAATAGGGAATGAAAAAAAAAATCAAGTCCGAAGAAAATAAATGAAAGTCTGATTTTGGTTACATAATGGTGGAGAAGAGGCAAAATTATAAATATACTCTTTGGAAATACATACACCTGGTAAAGGTGGTAAAGCTGGGACACATAGCAAGGAGGTGATTAACACCAAATTAAGGAAAAAAATACACCTGTAGAGTGGGGATCAGGAGCAGGAAGTTAGGGACAGACTTCAAAGGCATCAATAAGATTTTCTTTCTTAAGCTAGCTTGTAGATTAGTAGTATTCTTTTGGTTCTTATTCTTTACACTGTACTTATATAATATACATTATTTCATTTTTAAGAAAAGGCTCTGAAAGGTAAAATACCTTTTATTAACAATAGTTGGATGTTTTATTGTTTTTTCCCCCCTTTAGCTGTTGGCAGTTTCAGGTATTTCTGTAATAAGCATGGACAGCTTTTATATTAAGGAAAGGTCATAAAAGCAATTTCTTTTAAAAAAATCTTTAAATGAATAAAAATCACTCTGATTTTACATTTATGATAATAAAATATTTGATAAAGAATGCATATCTTTGCTAGGTATGTTACGCATATACTGACATACCTCATTTAGCCCCAAATGATTTTTTGATAAACTCTGGATCAATCTATTTTATCTGAGTCACATTTTAAATCCCTTGGGGAGTTGGTTATTTCGTAGGAATTTATGACAAACTGATGGTAATCTATGGTAACTTTATCAGCACATTAATATATTTTTTGGTAAAGTATCCCCACTCCAGCTCAAGTAGAGACATTGAGGATGTGTATTTTAATATATTAGGTAATTATTGAGGATGCTAATATATACCTAGGCTTTAAGCAAGGAATTTGGCAGACTTGGACAAGTAACTAAATAACCCACACTATTTCCAACTAAACTCATCTCCCATGAATCTGGCAAAAGTGAAAGAAATCTATGAAAACGCTGTGCTTCTCCCCACGTAAAGCATGACGCTGCAGATGCCGAAACAGCCCCGGGCAGCCATGGGATGAATACAGTCATTTAACAGCCTAATGTTGTTTACACTGCATTGATAACTTTTAGAAAAAGAAACTCAGCTTCTCGGGAGAAAGAGATGTGGAACCACAAGAAGGTACAGTCGAGCTTTATCATATTCCGAACTGTGACGCAAGTCAATTTAGAGAAGAGCCCTTGATGGGATGCCCAGATGCAACCTGTTAACAACCTGAATGAATCACCTCCAAAGTCGGGCCAGCCTGCGAGTCCCTTTATCTCCCCAACGGAAGCATTATAAGCCAGAGCTCTGCCAGATGGCGCAGAACTGGTCTGCTCTGGCTTTTAAAGGGACTGACTTTTTCTTTGAAAAGCCATTAAGGGAAAACCACAGACTCCGGAAGCCCCCACCCCCACCCCCCACCCCTCGAGAGCCACTCCTAGGCGAAGTCTCCAAGTCATTATCCTGGGACGACACAAGTCCACAAACTGCTCCAGTCGCAACGCTGGAGACTCCCCAGAAGTCAGCCTCTGGTCCCCACGACGGCGGACACAAAATGCTAACAGCTCTTCCCAGGCTGAGTGGCCTTTTGCGGTGACATGAAAAAAGGAGAGCTTGGGGACAGGCAGCCTGGGAGGAGAGGCGACAGGCATCAGGGCAAGTGAAAGAAAGAAGGTAGCTCACTTTCACCTCACCTTTTCAACATCTGCTTTGGTGACATTGATGTCCGCATCCATCTTCTCGAAGTACTGCTGCGCTCTGTCCGCCTCTTTGCAGTCCCGTTCAAATCGTCTTTTACTCTGAAAGCAAATGCAAGTGGTGACAGGAGAGCAGGTGTGAATGAAGCCGTGGGATTCCTATGAGAACGTATCATTTTGTCTCAATCCCCCAAAGAGCTTTCTCCTCTGAGCTGCTTGGTTATATGTCCTAACGTCAAAGAGTTATTCTACAGTCTGCATTTATAACCACCCCACCTGTCTAACCTTTGTGCTTTGAAAGTATGAGTTTTTAGAAAAACACTCTGCTTGAGCTCTTTGGGCTCCACACTCTGGTCTCGATAATGGTGTCTAGAAACAAATGCGATTCAAATTGGAGAAAATCTCTAAGGGCATCGCTCTGGTGTTTTTGTTCTGCACTTACGGATCCATGCAAGCTCACATTCAAATTAGAAAGTCTACAGGCATTTCTTGAGCTGTTTCTTGTCCACTTACTGATTCGAGTTGTTTCCAGCAGATCTCTATGTGCTGTTGGGCCTTCCGCCCGTCGTGGAAGTACTGGAAGCAGAAAACACAGAGGGATTAGCACCCCCTCTTTCTCATATTCACGAGTGAGAAAAAAAAAATCCTTCCACTTAAATTCATATTTCTTTTAAGTAGTCTCCACGCCCAACGTGGGGTTTGAACTCACGCCCCTGAGATCAAGAGTCACGTACTCTACCGACAGAGGGCCAGCCAGGCACCCCTTCAATCATATTTAAATACTGACTATCTAGCACGTGCACACCAAAGAAAGGTAAGGGTTAAAAAAATAAAGAGGAAGTGAAAATGCAAACGGTCACAGAGTTCCCTTTAAAACTTCAGATATGATAATATTGAATTCTAAGACCTACATACAGCACTTGGAAAAACAACAGGAATGTTCGTTAACACAACAATCACTTAGATCTTTATTTTTAATTGCTTTGAGGAGGAATTCACGTACCACACGATCCACCCATTTAGGTTGTACAATTCAATGCTCTTTGGTGTAGTCACAGAATTATGCAACCATGACCAACAATCAATTTGAGAACATTTTTATCCTCCCAAAAAGAGAGACTGTACCTCTTAGCTGTCATCCCTCCCCACCCCCTCCTCCCCAGCCTTAGGCAACCAGCACTCCACTTTCTGTCTCTATAAATTTGCCTGTTCTGGATTATTTCCCATGAATGGACTCATACAATATGAGGTCCTTCTGTGACTGGCATGATGTTTCCATTAGTACCTAATGTTCACTTAGCAGAATGTCTTCAAGGTTCATCCATGTTGTCACGTGTATCTGTACTTTATCTCTTTTTACTGCCAAGTGACACTCCATTGTCTGGATATATACACATTTTGCTTGTCCATTTACAGTCGATGAACATTAGGGTTTTCCCAGTTTGGGGCTATTATGAATGATGCTGCTGCAAACATTTGTGTAAAACTTTTGTGTGGACTTTGGCCTTTTTAGATTTAAAATAAATTCACTCCACCTGCTATCTGCAAAGGCCCGGAGGCAGGTAAAGTGCCTTGTGTTGACTAGTAAGGATCCTAGAGGGCTAGACCAGGGTGAGCCTCAAGAACATCAGGAGAGGGGGTCAGGGAAGAAAGGACCACACTGTGTAGAGTCTTGTAGACTTGTGGTCTGAATGAGCTGGGGAGCCATGGGTCACTCCAAGTATAGAAGGAAAGTTCCAGGTAGGAGCCTCTCTCCAACCCTGGAGACAGGAGACTTGGACCACAGGGCAGCAGTGCAGGTGGTGAGCAGGGGTCAGACTCTAGGTGTCCTTTGGTCAGGAAAACTCCAGGATCAGATGTGAGCAGAGAACTGAGGTGTAACGGTGACTCTAAGGTTGCTGGCCAGAGCTTTAGGAGAGGGGGGACTGAGAGAGGCAGGTCTGAGGGGAATCAGACACAGCTTTAGACGCGTTAGGCTGACATTCTAGGAGACGCCCAAGTGGACAGCCTCACAGGTAGCTGGATGGCTGTGGGAGAGCTCAGAGAGTGGTCAACGCTAAAATGATCAGCGTTGTCAGCATCAAGCCAGTGCTCAATGCTGAGCCACAGCCTGGACGAGATCACCAAAAGAGACGGGATCCCAAGGAAAGACCAGCTAGAAACACATAGAAATATTAAGAAAACGGTGTCATTTTTATCCAGGGGCCTAAAATCACCAGCGTTTCCCAAATCCTTCAACTGTGACGTCACCAACTTTGTCAATGTGGTTGGGAATTTCCCAGATCCATTCTCCGCCCTGTTCTGTGTCCCCAGAGGCTGACCTGCATGGACCACACGCAGGCTCCCTTGCCCTCCGGCTCTGTCAGATTTGCCACAGAGGTTCTGGCATATCAGAGGGCAGGAATTTATATCCATCTGCAGCTTCCTCTCGCTAAGATGCTCCGGGTTGGCTGGGTCCTCGACCCAAGGCCACAGCTCCCATCAGGCACTCCTATGAAGTGCCTACAATGCACCCCTGCCCCTGTCAGACTGAGAAGCCACAGCAGCTCCCCACCCTGACTAGCCCCGGGGTTCTGCACCAGCCCTGTTGCTTCTCCTGAACCCTCTCCACAGCAACGTAAATGTTCCTTTTACTAGACAACCTTCCTTCAATGCCTGGGCTTGAATGGGCCGTCTGTGTTCCGACGGACAAGGTAAACCTCGGTGGTGGTGGTGGTGGGGGGTTCCACTGCCAGAAAGCAAGCAGAAAGCGTGACCGACGGAACAGGTCCCCTCCGCAAAGACTCAGACCTTTCCATCCCCCCTAGTCAGAGCCTAGGGCGGGGCTGAGTCACAAAGGAGGACAGGAAGGAGGAGACCAAATCAGATTTTGTTTTTTCTTTTTAAGAACAGCACTCTTTTTATAAGGGAGTGTTTTCTTGTCTCTCTTTTGAGGCCATGTTTCACCGTTTTAAGCGCCTTTTTATGGCAGATTTACCCATCCAGCAATTTTTTTTTTTTGTCTCTATGAATCGGAGAGGAACCCCCTGGGGGCTTCATTCTTCAAGTTTCATGACAGACACAGGGATGAAACCGAACAGAGATTGCGTCTAAGGCTAGAAATAAACAAGCAAAACGGGATCAAGGCAGTGGAAGTAGGGGAGCTGAGAGCAGAGCTAGGAAAATCTTGAACTTCGGAGGAAGTCCCAAATGCAAGCGGGTTTTCTGAAAGCCACATATATCACTTTAACACGGAATGGAGGGCAGGACTGAGGGAGGTCCGGGGGGGTGGGAGGTGAAGAGAGAGGCAGACAGGGAGGCAGAGAAACAGGCTTTGCCGTGCCCTCTCAGGGAGGCCCCTGGGCTCCTGGAGTCCTGCCCAGTCAGAAGCCACGTTCCTGAATTGTCAAGAGGACGATCCCCCATTTCCCAAGCAGGATCACCGTGTTCTGCGGTTTGCTGAAAAGATGTCCCCCCCCGCCCCCCCCGCTAGTTTTACTTTGAGATTTAAAGACAGACATAAAGGGGAGGGGAGATACCTTAGCACCAAACTCAGACCTGTGCTCTGGGTTTATGCTCTCAAAATGGATGTTTTCACAAAACGTGAGGCCAGTCCTGGGCTGAGAGAGGAAACGCACACAAGAGTACGCAGAAGGCGACAGGCGCTGCCAGGAAAGCCTGACTGGGCTTTATCATCACAAGAATCTTCTCTGAAGACAATAGATACCCCACCCCACCCCCCACCCCCGCCACACAGAAACACACACACACACACACACACACACAGAGTCATTTTCTGGGAGCACGAGGGCTGACTTTGATTGAAAACCCACACAGTAAATTCTCTCGCTGCTCCTTCATTTAATATTTAAAAATAAATGTGAGTTTATTTTTCAAGCATGGTTGTGCACCTTGACTTGACTGATGATGAGGTTTCTCCCTTGAAGGACTCCTCAGCCCCAGTTCTGTCCGACTAAAACAACCATCTGAGAACAACACTTGAGATCCTAATGTCTCCTGAGACGTAGGGAAAAATCGAGGTGTCTGTGATTTTCCCTCTAATGTATCTCTCACGGTATGTGTTCCTCCAAAATTCATTTGGCTACAACACAGAAAAAAAATACGTGGTGCTGCCTGATCCCTTAGGAAATCCGGGGGTGGAACCCAAGGTCTCCTGACCGTCCTGTACATACCATGACCTAGACAGCGGTCACCTGGGTCCAGCTCTCTCTCCCCTCCTTCAATTGGAAAAGCTAGCTAACAGTTACAAAGGTAAACAAGCAAACCAGCTTGCCAGATGTGTGTGTTGTTTATTATGCTTTGCCAGACAGTGAGCAAGTGTGTATCTAAAAAGTGTGCCTCCAAGCTCTAAATAAAGAGGAATTGTTCTCTAGAAAAAGATAATAAGTCTTTTGGAGCCACAAAGTGAAGTCATCACGGCGCTTTTCTCCTATCAGCTGAGATGAGAAATGCCATCTCTAGGGACCCAGAGAAATGCTCCTGACTTTCTCCTGTAAGCAGGATGTTTTTCATTTCTCTTTGGAGGTAATAACAGACTTTTGAAAATGCCTGATGGTATCTCAGCTGACAGTGAAACTTACTTTCATTTCAAATTTTTGGTTGGAGCTTAAAAATATACAGGTAGAATCTATATAAATAATAAAAGCATCCTTCCAAATTTTTTTTGGATTCTCCCAGTGACCAGGGGCAGCTGAGAGAAGAATCACAGGGAACCTAAAATAAGCGAGCACTAACTTCAAGAAAAACTACAATGACAAAGCTTCTAAGAAGGTTTTACTGTGCTGCAAGAGATCATACTCAGGCTGTGAAAATGTTTATTATTCACACTCCACAATTAGGTACAACAGCTGCTCGCTTTTACTCTATTTATATATAATAGACTATTAATTTTTAAAACTCCATAAAAAAGCAAAATATGGCATTGATGTGAGAACAGCCACTTCCAAAAAAAAAGAGTGGAGGAAAAAAAAAAAGAATAAACACTCAATTGAGGACAGTCAACCATCTGGAATTTTAAATAAAACTCAGATTCCACAGATGAAAACAAAGGAGCACAAGACTTGAAAAGGGCAAAGAAAAAAGGAGCTTGCAGAAATTACGTCTGTGACAAATGTTATAATTTCCTCAAAACCCACAGTGTGGTGGGTCTGAACACTAGCAGATTCTAAGCCTGACTCGGGATTAATTAATGCAACTATGAATCTCTATGGCAGAGACATGGATGAGGACTGTGGAGGAAACTCAAATACTGTCAGCCCTGCTCAAGGGAGCACTTCGCCCCCTCCCTCCAATCCCAAACCATAAACCCAGGCGTTCGTGATGGCAGCCACATTCTGATTTATACAGTATGGTCATATGATTAAATAAATATGATTAATTCAGAAGGTCCATTTTCCTTAATCCATTTGTAACACAAATACCTTCTCAGTGCACAGGTTCCAAACATGCTTACGCCCCAGTGTCAGGCTCAGTCGCTGAACCCTACCCATCCCCCCGACCATCTGGGCACCGGGCAGGGGACCCCACGCATGGTCCGGCAGACAGTGCCAAGTTGTCTTTACTTCTCTCCCAGTGTG